GAGGCCCAGGGGTTGGGGACCGCTGCGCTAAGTGATGTTAGTCTCCTGGGTTAAACTGTTTAACCATGTTGTTCCATCAGAAATATGATAGAAAACAATTAGCTGGTTTCAGTAAAAGTTATAAGAAATGTTTTGATAAACCAGCCAGTACATCTTATGCTGTGTATTGTTCACTGGTCTGTCATTTGCTCTGTTTACTAAGGGCTGATTACTAAAGGGCCATTACACATAATACCTTACAAAAGTAACGCAGGCCAGTTATTGTAATGGAAGCCGTCAGTAACACAGAGTTGCTGTTTTGCTGTGTTTCAGAGCAATAAACCTCAATGTGCAACTGGATGAACATTATTTCCTGATGTCATCACCAAATCTGAAATCATATGTTTCCCAGGTCGCTCCCTTTGTTCAGTGAGTTCTTATATGCAAATGTGACAGTTTGTGTTCAAACTAAATCCTGCTTTCACCTCTGATTACCTGTCAGGTAACCCTGCCTTTGTGTTGTGATGACATCTTTGACATTTACTATGTTTATCTTACCTGGTATGTGACAGCCTTCTTCCACAGACGAACAAATTCCTCACCATTCAGCTTTCCAGTCACAGATGTCTTTTTAAGGTACCATTAAGATATCAGAACTGTGCATTTTTGCATTATTGAGTAAAAGGGCAGGCAGGTTTTGACTTGTACACTGTTAATATGTTTTATGTAAGTGCAGTTACTGTAAGGGTTTGCTCCAGTAAGCAGCTGAAATGAAGCCAATATAAATGCACCCAAGTCAATATGACACTCGAGGATACATCCATCAGAGCTACCATGCTGCGACAGGCATCGATTGTGAATCCTCCAGATTTCAAGTCTCCTAAAAAAGAAAAAAGTAAATAATACTAGGACACTCGGCACCATCTACATGGGATTATTATTTTAACTGTGTAGCCTTTCACTTTTACTGTGCAAACCTTTTAGTATTTTTCCATTTAGGAGCCTCTTGAGCTGCTCTGCATCCACTTCTTCATACTGGAAAGTAATCAAAGCTTAATGTGATGGTTG